CAATTTGCTCAATGCGTCTGCCCTTTTGTTTCCAGATCGTACGATGTGAGAGATGATGCACTCCTCGAACTTATCTTTTAATTCGAGGACCTTCTCGAGGTATTGTCTGAGCTGCTCATCATTTGCCATATAATTACCCAGGATCTGATTTACTACTACCTGAGAGTCGCTAAAAACTTAGATTTTTTGAACCCCCAGCTTTAGAGAACATATTTAACCCTGCTATTAGTGCTTCATATTCAGCCACGTTAGTAACTGGGAATCCAAATCTCAATGCGTAAGTGTACTCCGCGTCATACTCTTTCATGTTCTCGATCTCTGGATCAGCTGATGGTTTCGCTAATATGATACCGGTTCCCCCGCTCTTGTCACAACGGGAGCCGTCGACGTATAATGTCCAGGCTCGAGGGTTGACATTGATGCAGGCAGTAGGGTGACTCTTAGGCTTCGGGGCTTCCGGGACGTCAGTAGTTTGAGGCATTTCTACAAGGAAGTCTGCGAAAGCTTGACCCTTGATTGCCGTTCTTGGCTTATACTCGATATGATGCTCCCCTAACTCGACTGCCCATTTCATCATTCTACCAGAAGCTTCTGACTTGAGAAGAACTTGCTGAATGGGTTGTTCTCTTAACACCCATATCAGATGTGCTTAGAAGTATGGACGCAGGCGTCGAGCAGCCATAACCAAACTCAAGATAAGTCTCTCCATGGGCGTGTATCGTGTCTCTATACCTTGTAACACTTTACTAACAAAATAAACAGGAATTTCCTTGCCATCCTTTTTCTGGACTAGGATAGCTGAAATGGCCTTTTCTCAAGCAGCGAGGAATACATATAAGGTCACCCCCGGTTCAGGCTTGAACAATGTAGGCAGCTGTTTAAGATGATCCTTTAGCTCTTAGAAAGCTTTTTGGCATTCCTCATTCCACTCAAACTTTCTGCCTTTGCGAAGTGTATGAAAGAATGGGAGGCTTCTTTCTGCGGCTCGAGAGAGGAATCTGTTTAAGGCCGCCAGTGATCCTGTAAGTTTTTGAACTTCCTTGATCTTTTCGGGGCTTCCATAGATAGGATCGCCTCAATTTTTGTCGGATCAACACTAATTCCATCCTTGGAGATGTGGTACCCTAGTAACTTACCCGACCCTACGCAGAAGGCACATTTTTTTGGATTAAGTTTCATATTAATCTTGCGGAGAATCAAGAAGATCTCGTGCATATCCTTGACTACTTGCTCATCTCTGTTGCTCTTGATCACCATGTTGTCCACATATATCACGATGTTTTGGCCAATCTGGTTATGGAACGCTCGATTGATGAGGTGTTGATAGGTTGCCCCGGTGATCTTGAAGCCAAAAGGCATCTTGTCATAATAGTACACTCCGATCTCGATGATATAGGCTATTTTTCTACGTCTTCTCACGCCATAAGGATCTGGTGATATCCTTTATGGGCGTCAAGGAAACTGAGGGTCCTATACCCAGTGATACCTTCGACCATCTGATTTATGATGGTTAGGGGATAGCGTCCTTGGGGCAATGTTTGTTGAGATTCGTGTAATCTTGGCACATGCGTCAAGAGTTATCAGGCTTTCGTACCAGGACTGGGTTAGCCAACCAGGTAGGTCAAAGAACTTCCTGGAGGATATTAGCATGAACCAGCTTCAATGTTTCTTCATTGATGATGTCATTGCGATCTCGAGCAAATATTCTCTTCTTCTGTTTTACGGGTTTAACATTGGGAATGACATTTTGTGTTCAATAATATCTCGTGGCACTCCTGTCATATCTGTAGGTGACCAGGCAAATATATCCAGAACTCGCATAGCAAGGTGATTACCTCGGCTAGTAATGCTCCTTGAGGTGTTATACCTATCTGGATGGTCTTGGATGGATCCTTTTCGTTAAGAACAAGCTCCTGTGTTTTCCTACTAAGTGGTGGCATGCAATTAGTGTCGCGATCTTCCGACCGTGATTGTACTGTGACTTGTTGAACCAAGTAGCATCCCGATATGGCAGTGCTTGGGTTAGACTTTATGGCCCTCTTCCCAATCTTGACAGCTGTGAGCAAACATTCTCGAGAACTATGCTGGCAGCCGTGCACTACTCCAACTCCGTATTCTGTAGGAAATTTTATCTCTAGGTGATAAGGAGACCAAATTGCTTGGGCTTGACATATCCAGGGTCGTCCAAGGATCACATTGAATGGTGAGGGTGCATCTATTAAGGCAAAATCCATGGTTAATGTAACCATTCTGGGATGCGACCCTACCGTGATGGGGAGACTTATGATTCCGGTTGGGATAATAGTGTGGCTCGAGAAGCCTATCAATGGCATTGTTGCTGGGCGGACATTAGGATTTTGAATGTTCATCTTTTTGAAACAATCGTTGTAGATAATATCAACTGCGCTGTCGTTATCCACATAAACCCGACTGACTTGCACATTTTCGATTATCACCTCGATAACTATGGCATCACTGTATGGATAGATATTCGGAACTACGTCGCTCTCAGTGAAAACTATGGCCTCTGTCCCTTTGAACCTCTTGTGACTAGGTTCCTGACGGGGAGTTTTTGTGGCGGTTCGTACTGAGTTTTTTTATGGCTGTGGTAGATAAAACTTCAAGAGGAGCTCCATAAATGGCACCCACCTAGTGAGTGATCTGCTTGGTAGGATCCGCCAGAGGGATATGTTGAAGCGGTTGTGGGGCTCCCTCGATAGTTTGTTAAGGAGGTTGTTGCGTATTATTCTATGGTTGCCAATTATTCCCACGGCTTTCTCCTCGAGGGCCCCTAAAATTTCATTTAGGAAAGTTTCGGGATGTACCAGGCTTGCTGTTTCTTTGTCGAGAGGGTTCTTGCACATATCGCTAGAATTTACCAAACTTAACTCCATTCTCAATTTTCCTCTTGAGTTTTCGACAATCCTCAGTATCATGGCCGTGGTCTTTGTGACATTCATAATACAGTTCCGTCGACCTATTTGGATTGGGCGCTAAAGGTTTTGGGGTAGGTAACTCGTCCTTGTGGATCTAGAGGACTTCCCGGCGTAGCTTAGTCAAAGGCGTCAACTGCCTATCGAGTTTAGGCAATGTTGTCCTACTTTCCATGTTAACCCTTGGTTTGTCTCTTGGCCCTACTGCCGTGAAAGATTCTTGTGATATATTGAGTTTGTGCTCTCGTTGAATATGGTTCTTGACAATAGCCTACATCTCTTCGAACTTCCTAGGAGGTTTAGTCGAGAGTTTTACTCTTAGCATTGAGGATTTTCCAAATGGGTTGAGTCCTTGGATAAAACCATTCTAGACATCCCATTCATCTATGTTGTCAACTTGTAAAGTTTCGCGGATGAAACGCCGATGGAAGTCTGAGAGACTTTCATGTTGACCCTGCTTGATCAAGGAAATGTCAATGGACATCCTAGAGATTTGTTTACTCTGAAAGAACCGAGTTGCCAATTTGACTGACAAGTCCTCGAAACTAATTGTACTTCCTTCTGGTAATTGTCCAAACCACCGATGTGCTTGCGCGGTTAAGTAGGAGGGTAGAGCCTTAGCCATAAAATTCAACGACGCATTCCTGATCCTCATGACCTGGACATACCCCTGTAGCCACTGGGAGACATCCGTATCTCCTGAGTATTTGGTGAAGTCTTTGGGGAAGTTGAAGTCCTGGGGCTTCGGCTCGTCTCGAATGTCTGGTATAAAGGGACTCCAAACTACAACCATTCCAATGATCTTCCTCATCTCGTCTCAGATCGAAGCGTTCTAGCCTCTTACTCCCTACTGACCTCGAGGAAGATAAGGTGGGATCTCTTCGTGGTTGTCATGTTGTTGTCGCCTGGGAGTTGAATATTGAAGATGACGGTGATGCCTTCGTCCATAAGCCTCTCTGGTATCGCCGTCATTTCGGTATTGTCTATGGAAAGGTATTATTCCTCTCTTCGAGGACTCTTTCGGTGAATACTCTTGATAGTGCCCCTCCTCCTGGACCTTTCGCTTGCCTTGTTTCTTTTCGAGAAGAGCTAAAGTGCATCGGGCTTTTTTCTCATCAATCAAGTCAACTAACTGTTATTCAGTTGGGTCAGGTTTTCCCAGGAGACAGCGACGCCTTGTTTCCTCGAGAACATATCTTTTTATCTTTTGATTTGATCGCTGTCATCCCGCAGCTTTTTGAGTTCGGCCTCAATTTTGGCCAACTTTTGATCCTCCAAGCATTTTTTGGATGCTATGGTATTTCGATGAGGAGGCAAATCCTCTTTCTCGGTCGTGGAATTTGCTTTATCTGATTTCTCTGGATTAAGCTGTGAGATTCCGAGGACTAGACGTTCTTTCTCTGGTTTTTTCTTGGGTCCTCTTTCATGGCCCTTTCCCGTCTTCTTTCTTTCCTGTCATCGTTGGAATTCTGTCAAGATAGTGTCTGGACTATGCCGTCTACTGAAAGATGCCATGCTGCTCGCGTCTTCTTCAACCCTAGCCATGGTGTGCGTAGTTCCAGAAACTCTAAGTCGCACCGGAGAAGGTTAGGAAAACTGGAAAGGCTTTCGTGATACAAACCCTAGTTTTCAGGTCCCACTCGTCGTGCCACTTGATAAAACTTGGTTTTACACCGCCGGCTTGGTAGTGGAACTCCGGCTAGGGTTTCCTGTAAAAGAAGGCCTTGGAGGTCTCCCGAGGGTAGACACTCCGATGCTTAAGTCAGAAAAGAGTTTAAAAGATGTATGTGAGTAGTAGTTTGTGCTAGAGATAGCGTACCCGTATCGTTGTGTGATCCCTCCTATTTATTGGCATGGAGTTACATTTAAGGATGCCGAATCCTACTAGGTTTGAAGTTCCGGAACCGCCTCTTGTTAGGTCGGTTGGACCACAATAAACGGATGGGCCAGTCCAATAGCTCTCGGTGGATATGGACTCGTCAAGTTGTGTTCGCTGTACTTTTGTCTTACTCTAAAATTCAACTATAGGTATACTTTAGTTGCAAAATTTGTCAGAGTTGAAAAGAAGAATATAACTGTGTGATAAAATCTTTAAACTGCTCCTGGCACGATGAATCTATGACAGGTTCTTATCTGAGGGCTGCAAAGGCTTCGGAGAAGGTTGAAAAGACTATGAACTGCCTAGCTGTGGTACCTCAATCAGGCCTTGAACACCTTTTCTTTTGGCCGTCAACTTTGTCAGCTGCTATAATGTTACACAACTTACTATCATGGACTGCATTTATGTGATTTGCTCATCTCATCGAGGTGCATTAATTTCATAGTTGAGAATGTTTGCTTTTGAAAATTTTCAGTCTTCATGTACTGAGGGTGGCTGAAAGCACCGGAAGCTTCTCTTACTCCATGATCATGCAGCATATAAAGCTGAATGATTTTGATGTTGCAGCCGCCCAATGCACAATGAAAAGTTTGAAGGTTTTCATTAATTATTGATTCTGCCTTCTTCACTGCGGATTCTCTCATGGAAGCAAGTTCTGTTCCCTGTTGAAAGCATAGAATTAACAAAAGTCATCTTCCAATATAAGGGCAGATCATGGACCAAAAAACTGGCACCATGTATACGTAACCTAGCTATATGGTATGATTCGTGTAGGCTGATAAAAATCAATATGAATCTCACAACATAAACCGCAAGCCTTTGCAGTCCTACATAAACCGCTAGTCTAGATACAACAAGATTAATTAAAACTGTATACTGATGTTTGTAAAACTGACTATTCTACACAACCTACCCAGTCCTACAGAACTCCTAGAACAAATCTGTTTAGATGGTTGTTGTACCATTTTCTCCATTTCTTATTACACAAAAGTGACCAATACATGACTAACAAGCTGGTAAGAAATCCGATTGCTGCACTGAAATAGACGTCACTTTCGAAAACAGCTGATTCCTTATCCTCAGGTGGTGGAACTGGAGATTCTTTTGGAGAATGTGAATTGCTTGGTATACTGAGGGGCAAACCATGTAGAGCACTGTTCCCTAAGAAGTTACTTTCTGAAAGTGTTTGAATTTGAGGACCCTTCGGGATCGGTCCATACAGCAGATTGTAAGAGACATTAAAGATTGAAATGAATGTAAGACCTGCAATCTGAAGTGGGATTTTCCCACTGAGAAGATTGAATGAGAGGTCTGATGACTCCAGTTTCTTCATGTTACCGACTGACGGTGGAATTGGTCCTGTGAAGTGATTGTGTGACAAATTAAGAAGATGAACCCATCGAAGCTCTCCAAGTGTTTTGGGCAAATATCCTTGGAAATGATTGCTGGAGAGGTCGATAGACGTGATAATCACTTTATTCAGCTCACATTTCCCCCCTTTAATGACAATTGTCACTGAGTCTTGATATATACTTAGAATGTCCTTGCCTTCAGACTGCAACTGAATTAACCGAACACTAGGATCATCTCCCTCTTCTGTCATTGCCTTCAAACTCGAGAAAAGAACTGCTGGTAGTGTTCCACTGAATCTGTTTTCTGCAAGATCCACAATTTGTAGTTTTGGCCAGCTGTAGTTGTTTCCAGGACAAGTGATGCTTCCATGGAAGCGGTTATCACGCAATACAAGCACGCGAAGGAGAGTGAAATTGTTTATCCAGCAAGGGAAGTCATCATCTATTCTGTTTCCACCTAGGTTTAAAACCTCTAGACTTCTGCAGCCGGATAAGGATGAAGGAACCTGTCCTCCTAAATGATTGAAACTCAGATCCAAAGCCCCTAAACTACATCTGGACATCAATATGTCAGGTATATTGCCAGTGAGGTTGTTTCTTCCTAAGTTGAGCAGGAAAAGATGATCACTAGTGTTTAACAAACAAGACGGTATGCTTTTACTTAAGGTATTGTTGGAAAAGTTTATTCCTCTAAGGCTACTTGCATTGCACAGTGATGCAGGGATAGTACCCGAGAACCTATTGTTTGCGATGGAGAAATATTCAAGTTGTGGCAGGTAATTGCCAATGTCTGCTGGAAGTTGCCCCGTGAGGAAATTCGAGGTCAGGTCAAGAGTTTTTAGAGACACAAATTTCTGAGGTTCTTGAAGATGTGTCAACTGATTATGAGAAAGATTCAAATACTGAAAAATTCCATTTCCAACATCCCATAGCCAGGAAGGAATTTCTCCCGTTATTTGGTTGCTTGACAGATCTAGCAGCTTAAGTTCATACTGGTTCTGTAGGTTGGGAAAGTTTCCGATACCACATGAGGCTAACATCAATTCTTGAAATAGGGGAAGAGAAGAAGATTCAGCAAAAGTGCTGTTTGTGTTAACAACCAACCTATTATATGAAAGATCAAGAGAAACAAGTTGAGGTAGACTTCTGAAATGGATCAAATCTACGGTTCCATTAAACTGGTTCCAAGAAAGATCAAGATTAGTAAGATTTTCTAGATGAAACAGAAACTGAGGCACCGGACCTTGTAATTCATTACTCAGCAACTGGATGTATTTCAGTGAGGAAGACTTCTTCAGAGCTACTTTAGCAATAGAACCCGAAAAGTTATTGTATGAAAGTATCAACTTCTCTAGTGATGGCAGAGAAAAAAGATTTCCAGGGATTTGGCCTTCGATTGAATTTTGACTTAAGTCAAGCTCCACAAGTTTTTCAAGTGCTACAAATTGGAAGAAAGAAATATTACCCGAAAACTGATTGGATCGGAGGTTAAGGGTAGTAAGATTTCTGGAAGAGGTAAAAGATGGAATTGCGCCGCTGAAGTGATTGGCAAACAAGACTACATTTACGAGGCGAGCCAGGTTTTCGACTGACCTAGGGACAGGGCCTGTGAAGTTACAAACACTCAAGTCTAATGTGGACAACATTCTGAGATTGCCAATTGAATCTGGTAAGTTTCCTGAGAAATTTGTGTGGCTTAGCAACAGATTTTGAAGCGATGACTCTACAGGGAATTCGGGCAGGGAACCCCCAAGCTCTGAATTTCCGGACAAGTCAATAGTTTGAAGAGTTGGTACCTGGAATATTTTCTCTGGAGTTTCTCCACTCAATTCGCATGAACTTAAGCTCAAGTCTGTAAGATTGGGAAAATCCGCAAAGAACTCTGGAATCGGGCCACTAAAATGGTTGTAATCAAGACGTATGACAGAAAGGGATTTGAGTTTTGCTAGTGAATAGTCAATCGGCCCCGAAAGATTACAACCAGACAGGCTCAAAACTTGCAAATCAGGCTGTGAAGAAGACAAAACCCGGCACAAGTACTCGAGCCCCTGCGCTGAAAAATCTATCCTATCAAGATACAGTTCTCGAAGACTTGTGAGATTCCGAAGTAAGAATTCAAGATTTGGGTTGTCAAATCGGATACCGTTTCCGGAGAGATCAAGACTTACCAAGCTTGTCAATTTGGAAAAATCACCTGGAATTTGGCCGTTAAATCCGGAAGCAAACAAATTCAGGTGCCTCAATGAAGTAAGCTTCCCAAAATTTGATGGTAACTGGCCTGAATAAAAGTAATTCTCAGCCAAACTTAAGCTCTGCAGGAATCGAAGATTAAACAAACTACTTGCCTCATCGATGCCTCCGGTGATCGATTCCTTGCTGAGATCAAGGCCGATGACATGACCAAATGAATCACAAGTAACACCAGCCCAGAAACAGCAATCAGTATCCTTATCCCATCCAACAAGCTTAGTAGAAAGAGAATATGGCAGTACATTTAAACTGTCCCTGAGCTGAAGCAACAACGTTTTCTGATCACTAAGACATTGCCCGGAAACAAGGAGAACATTTACAAAGCAACATGGCACCAAAAGCAGCATCAGGGAAGGACAAAAACACACCAAAACTCTCATTTTTATTACCCTTTTTGGGAATAGAAGTTTTCAAGTTTCAGATGAATTTGGATGGCATTGAGGAACCAATCGATGCAGTATTTTTAAAAAGTTTGGAAATTGGGAAGTGGAAACCAGAAAGAAGGAACATTCTATAATCGGCACGAGGCCGGAGGCCGGAATCTTCAATAAATAATAATATATTTAACCGACACGGCAATGATCTTGTCATCTTTCTGGCAATGATATAGCATTTTATTCAACTGGATGTCAACTTGTGTACCCAAATAGTAGTAGTATAATTTAAAGTGATCTGCTTTTTTGGGTTTCACATGTGTGATTGATACTAATTAAAAGAAATAATTAGGTTCTTAAGTAAAAGTTAACTCCACTTTCAAAAGCAATTCATACAAAACTAACACAATCATTGAGGGGTGGCGTGCTGAATTATATTTTTTTAACGACAAAAAAAGGTACCAATTTCTGTCATCCTCATTGAAATGTTCTCTTTTGTTAAGAAATGAGTCGGGCCTATTGGCCAGTGTTTCGCATGTTTTTTTTCCTTTTTTGAACTTTTTAGACATAACTTTCTCGGTTTCATGTTAAAGAAATCAATCATTAACCAATTAATATATATATATATATTAACCAATTAATATGTATGTGTGTGTGTTAAATACCATTCCGAAATTAATCTCCAGTTTAAATTTTTATTTTTTAATAAAAATTGAACTAAAAGTGAAAATCCAACTCGAACAATAATTTTGGAACATGTAGAATACTTTGTATGTCTCTTATTAATCATATTGAAACTGTAATCAAAATAATAATTTGAAGAAAATTCGTTATCATTAATATGAGTAAAGTTGGAAAGTCATTAATGCTATCTAGAAATTTTCAATTTACTAGTAATTTCCAGATTTTAAAATGAAATTTTTTCTCAAAAAAAAAAAATTCTAGTATGGACAGATTCTTCATTTCTTGAGATGACTTCCATTTTGAAATAAAGAGAGTACTACCTATGTTGTATTTGGATGGACCCAACAATTTTTTGTTACTGCCGCTTCTCATTTTCAATTTATCATTAATATATATATATTTTTAATTTCACCATTATCTCATAAGATATATTAATGACAACTATGTATTTTTAATTTGTTTCATTTTTTTGTTCTAAATTTCCTTACCAAATCTTGCAAGAGAATCGTTTGTGTCCAAAACATTTATTACAGCATCATGTCTAAATTCCGTTCTAGCACTAGTGACATTACAGCTCCACAGAAGGGCAGATTGTAATTGCAATAATTATATGTCATAGTAATTGTATCATGATGCCGCTTAGGACGGTTTCTCTCCTTGTCTTTCTCCCATCCTCTTTGTGGCCCTGATCATCTATATCATCTACATTAGAGCTATCTTCCATTTTGACCTTAATACTGTTAAGCTGAACATCTACATATCTTTCTCTTTCTCCTCTCTCTCTTGTCGATCTTTTTCCATTTTGGCCTTAATACTGTTAAGCTGATCAGCGCGCGACATCTTTTGCGCGTTGATGCTTTTTCAGTTCCTTTTTTCTCTTGTATTTTTTCGCTCTCAAGCAAATCCTGAAATGCAAGCTATAATTTAATGTTTCAATGCAGAAATGTTCTCTGAGAACCCTGAAAAGCGGGAGTATCTTCGACCTTCGGCCAGTAATCGCGCCTCCAACAAACCACGAAAAGCTTCTGAATTGCTTTATCCCCTCTTCCACTAACTTAAGGAAATATTGCTTGCAGATCTCCAAAAGATCAAGTTCGTCTAGGAGCAACCATGGTTCCATCTTCGATCACGCGAGCTTTAACTTCGCTCCATTTGCTATCAAACCGTGACAAAATTTTCTAGATATCTCTTATAATACTCGTCCCTTTTTGGGAAATGGGCCTCAAGATATTCGTCAATTTCCATTCTCCGACGTTCCCACCAAGTAATTTTGAAACAGATCCCACGGTCGGTTTCTCTTTTCACTGCCTTAAAACATCCACCACCTTCATATATTGCTACTGCTTCGCTCCATCTTATTGATGATGTAAGTTCCTTTGATTCTTCCAACAGTTTTGTGAATTCTTCTTGTGCTTTGCTCTGTCTCAATCGCCACTAGAATTGAAAACTACCAAGAGAGGCAAACCCGAGCCGCAGGGATTTAAGAAAGGCAGTCTTTGAAAGCCACCAAAGCTTCATATTATATATAAACAAGAAAACTTTACTAACAAAGCTACATAACTTCTCTATTTGTAGAGGGGTCCTAAATAATCCAAACCCTAGTAGGTTTACTAATCCAAACCCTTTTCTTACAGCTTATTAATGAGGAGCTAGAAATGATTGATAAGGACCTTCTAGTTCAACGGTTGGAGATGGCGGAGCGATTTTCGGTTTGAAGGAAGATGGCGCGCCTGGTGGACGGATTTGGGGGCTCATTTTATAGATCATGTTGGGAAATTATGAAGGATGATCTTCTAAATGCTTGTAATGAATTTATGCTTGGCATTCCGATTTCTTACAGCGGGCAATAGCAAGCACTTTGATAACCCCAATTCCGAAGAAGATGTCAGTTAACACCTTTTATGGTTTCAGGCCTATTAGTCTATGTAATTTTTTGAACAAGATCCTTACAAAAGTACTAACGGAGAGGCTAAAATTGGTGCTGCCAAAATTAATTTCGAAGGAACAATATGCATTCTTGATAGGTCAGGATATTACGGATAATGTGATGCTTGCTCAGGACTTATGTCAGTTTATCAACCATAAATCAGTTGGGAATAATGTCATCCTCAAAGTTGACATGATGAAAGCCTTTCATCGTGTTTCTTGGAGCTTCCTTGAGAAGCTGGATTCTTTAAAGCCTCACGAGAGATTAAAAAGGGCGACCCGTTGTCGCCGTATCTATTTCTTCTAGTCTCTGCAATGACAAGGTGTTTAAAGGTGTCGGTTGAATGCAATAAGGTAGCTGGATATGGTACCCCGGTATGATCACTTGGCGTTTCTCATATTTGTTTTGCAGATGATCTGATAATCTTTACAAGAGGGCTGCAACTATCTCTCAAGCAGTTAAATGTCTTTTTTGATGACTATGAGCTTGCTTTTGGGCAGACAGTTAACCGGCAAAAAAGTCTTCTTTGTTGTAGATGAAGGATGTAGTGCAAGGAGTTCATAAAAAATTAAAAGATGTTTGAGTATGGAACAAGGCACTCTCCCCTTTGTATATCTTGGTTGTAGGCTATTTTCTGGAAGGAAAAAACCTTCGATTTTTCAATTCGTTCTAGATGCACTGGAAGCGAAATTGGCTAGCAGGAACAATAAATTGCTTAGTCCGAGAGGTAGGCTTTTACTTATCAAACATGTTCTTTCAGCTATTCCTATAAATGTGTTGCATAAGTTCTTTCTTTCTTGAGGGAAAAACTTTAAAAACAATACTGACCCGACGAACAACAATTTTAAGAAGGTCTGTTTTATTGTAGTGGGGTTCACTCACGGCTGGGAGAGATATACTATGTTAATCATTTCGGGAAGGCAATTGAAGTAGAAAATAATACTTATTCAATTGGTTCAGGCAGTGGTCGGACTGGAGTTATCATGGATTCTAGCTTTAATGCGAGAACTTTGACCAATGAACATGCTTCTATCCTGGCCATAAGGGCAGTGTGTTGTGCATCCCAGCGTGATTGCTATACTGGTGGTTACGTAAGGGCAGTGTATTTTGGTGCTTTGTCGCCGCCTATGCTCTACATGTGCGTGCAGATTCCTATTTTATGCAGATGCATAATATTCAAGGGCCTATGGCGCATCTTGATGTCGATATGAATGAAGAATATGAATCGGACTAGAAGTTCATGGATTTAGAGGAGTAAATATTCAATCTATAATGGATTTATTGGACTAAGCATGCAATTTGTCTTGTTTTATTCTTACTTTCGGATCTGTAAGCTGTTTAGCCTAAGAGCAATACAGTATGTAATTTTGGGTTTAGTAGTGTCTTTGCATGTTAAAGCCTAATGTTGTGGGTTTGATTTGGTGGTGGTCCTTTTTCTACCACATGGAATTAGTAAATGGATTACCAATTCGGAAAAAAAAAAAAAAGAAGAATAGATCATTTGGCAGTTCTACCATTAGCTTCATGAGTCTCAAATGAGATGACAGCTTTAAATAATGTTTTCAGTTATGTTCACATATCTTTAACTATTATTGGAATATATATCCCAAAAAGAAACAGATTCCCACTTTTTTTTAAGCTCAAGTGTTTGTATGATAAGTTTCCGGATATGATTAGATCTTTCTAGGTACACCAATTTGTATATTACAAAACTTTAAACTGAATATAAATTTGAGTCACGAATACAAACATCAACCAAATATTATAAGGACCAATCACCGGGTTGTTCTACCGATTTCTTTTTACAGGGATTGCAATTCTTCATCTTCTAAATATTTTTGAGACAGAGTTGGTTTGAATGTATCAATATTTCTTCATACTGGTTCTGCTCATAAAAAGCCTCAAGAACGTTTCAGGTCACCCTTGCTCTAATATACATTTTTATCACAATTCTTTTGTCTAAACCTTTGAACAAGTCCCCAAAATCCTCAGTAATGTCAAGCTGATCCATAGCATATAGAGCTTTCAGGGGAGTCCCTGCAACCCTTATAGTGGTTTTGGTAGATGGAAAAAATTCTTATCCATTCTGGTTTTTTTCCATTCTTCCATTCTTCAACCTCTCATAAAAATAGTTAATCACTATGGTCCCACTATTAGCATGAAAGAAAATCACGAATTTATTAATACGAGCACGCATTCAAAGTCAGCCACGGAAGGTAATCTGAATTTAATTTCTTTGGTGGGCATAATAACACTATTATTCGAAGCTACTTTAGCTCTTGCTCAAAAAGACATTAAGAAAGGTTTAGCCTATTCCACAATGTCCCAATTGGGTTCTATGATGCTAGCTCTGGGTATGGGGTCTAATCAAAGTGCTTTTTCATTTGATTTCTCGTGCCTATTCAAAAGCTTTAGTATTTTTAGGATCGAGATCCATTATTCATTCAATGGAAATAGTTGTTAGATGTTCTCCCCATAAAAATTGAAACATGGTTCTTATGGGAGGTTTAACAAATCATGGACCAATTACCAAAAGCATTTTTTAATAGGTACACCTTCTCTTTGTGGTATTCCACCCTTGGCCTGAAAGCATCTCTTTGTGGCACTTTTTTAATAGGCACACTTTCTCTTAGTTTGGAGATTTTCTTTTGTACAGGTGTCTCAACATGATCCATACATAAGGTTTTAACAACTGACAGAAATTGA